GATATTAACATGGAATAGGATACAGGAGTTTGTAATCCCAGAAGGAGGTAAGAACTGAAGATAGAGATGGTATTTAAAGCAACAGAAATCATGAAATCCCTCAGAAAAAAAAAATGATATCGAGAGAAAGTGGAAATGGCCACTTCAAGGCCAAGAGGAGGTGGAGTAAGAAACAGAAGAAGCAGTGAGAAAGGAGGAAAACCAGGAGAGTGGTGCTCCGAAAGTGGTTCAAGAAAGTGGGAGTGTCACTTCTGTTGAAAGCTGCGAACAGGTGAAGTAAAATGAAGCCTAAGAAGTGACCACAGAATTTGGCCACATGGAGGCCATCGGTGACACTGACAAGGGCAAGCAAGGTGGAGTAGGGGCAACGAAAGTTCATGCAGCGTGGGCTGCAGGAAGAGGCAACGAGAGAAAGTGGTGACCACGACAGTAGAAGATCCCTTAAGCAGTTACGCTGAGAAGAGGAGCAGATAAATAGAGCCATATGATGGTGATAGGGGATAAAGGGAGGATTAGATTTTACTGCTGGGAGATATAGACTGTGTTCGTGAGATAAGAATCATTTCAGAGAGAGGAAGACATTATAATATGGGATAAAGAGATAGTATCTGCAGTATGAGGCCCTGAAGGACACAAGGGGGTGGCTTTGTAGAGGCCGAATGGAAGGGCTGGCCAATGAGTGCAGCTCTTCTATGCTAGCAAGAGGGAAGGCAAGGACTTCAGTACACGTGCAGGTCTGTGAATGGCTTTGGTGTGGGAAGGTGAATACTTCTGTTTTCTCCTTGATGGATGAATTGAGGTTATCAGCTGGGAATTGGGTGGAGTTGTGATGGAGAGGTTTGAGAGGTTTGAGGGGTGTGAAAATGTGGTCTGAAGCATGGGGAAAAGAATACACTAGAGAATATCCTCAGGCAGAATTGCCTGAATGCCCATTTGCAATTTGTCATCATGAATTTGAAATAAGACAAGTCATTATATTTCCTCCAGCAAATGTCAAATCTAACCTCACCCTGTTGCCCCCCCAAACTCCTGCCCCTACTTTAACTTGGCTTCATCTGTTAGTCATGCTGGATGCCAGTTCTGTGGGAAACTTGTGTTACTCCTCCAAGTCTAGATCTGATGCTCTTCTTGGT